CAAATTAAATTATCATAATGCCGTTGCCTTATTGAATTTTCCCATACGGTTTCCTATATAGTTTTCTATTCTTTTTAATGGATTCAGTCATATTAATATTTGAAAATTTTATATTAGATTTTCTTATTTCTTAAAAATACGAAATCTAAAAATCTTTTTTATTTTCTTTAAAATTCTATACACTATACTGTTTTGCTTAAGGCCTTTAAAACCTTTAAGGTACCTACATTTTTAAGATAAATTCATTTATATAAAATATTGGTAGTTTATAAAATTGACAGTAACATGGCACTATTTCAAAATAATTATATTATATATAATAATTTATTAAATAAAATCAAGGTTTTTTAAAGTTTGATTGTACTTTTCAATGTACAATCAAACAATACCATACCATATTACTCTGGAATTTCAAAGTTTTTTAATGTAAAAATATTTAGATGAAAAATTAAAATATGGCATGTACAAGGAAAAAAATAAAATAATAAATTTAATGATCAATGCCAATAAATTTATAATGATCAAATATTATTTACAAAAATTTAGAGGAAATAATTATGAAAACGTCAACACTATTTTACAATTTTTTATGTCAATTTAATATAGTTAAACTTTTTAATGCTATAATATTATTTAGAATTGGCGGCAAAAATATGATCCAATTACAGCTACTATTTCCGCTCATTCCTCGGCTAACGTCAATTCACATGTCAAGAAGTAAGAAGAATACGTTTAATGGCATCCCCGAAAACCTTAAAAGAAAAATTTCATGCATTATTTTTCATAATATTTCAAAAATATGAGTAAATTGAGCTGAAATAAAAAAAAAAAATTATTAATTTTAATTACTTGTCATCAAAATCGCATTCGCATTCGCGCTCTAATCAAGGAAATCCGCGTATTTTAATGTAATTTAATGGCAAATTCTTACTTTTTTTTTTTTGTTTAATATAAAATGACAAAAAAATTAAAAGTTTTTCTATTTAATTTTTATTTATTTTTGTTGAAGCTCATTGAATTCTTAATTATTATTATTTTTTTTTTGCTGTGATTAAATTAAAACTTTTATTTTTGTTTTTTTTTGACAATTATTGTAAACTTCATTCTATTATGATTGTATACCATTGTACGTATACGCAGGAATACACAAAAATATTAAACGCCATCTATCATCTAATAAAAATTTTTAAAGTTTTGTTGTTTTTTGTATATCTTTGCGGTTAATTAATATGCGAAATGAATTCAAATTATGAGAAAAACTTTTTAACAATAAAATTTATTCAATTGCTTCTAAACAAATTTATATTCTTTTTTTTTTTGTACACAGAAAGCCTATTGTGTATTTGTGTGTAATAAAAATGAAATTTTAATTTTCAGAGCAAATTTTATTGCTTGCCTAAAAGTCAATAATCATTCTTTAAAAAATTTTTATTTTCAATGAAGTCGAAATTCTTTTTATTCTGTATAGCTGTTGAAGAGAATTTAATGAAAGAGAAAAAAAAAAAAACAAATTAATTAAATTATAAATTTTTAATTTTTATAAATATACAAACTATATATACATAAGTTATATATATATATCTACATATACAATATTCATGGATTCTCATTATTTAACTGAGTGTTCCAGTGAAGATGTTTATTAATTTTCGAAAAGTTATATTATCATTCTCCTTATTAGTTCATAAATGCAAAGTGCTCCTAATTTACTTGATAAAGAAGGTCGAAACATATTTTAGCCGAAATATACATGATAGTATATTAAGGAGAAATATAAAAACTTGAAGTAAGAACCAGAACTTTATCGTGTATTTCGTTTTCTAATTCGCCGAGTGATAAGAAATTGAGCGTATCATATATTCGTGTAATGTAATTTTCGAGTTAAAGACATAATATTCAATTAAAAAATGAGAATTCTAATATGAAAATGAATAAAAAGTGAAACTGAGATATGCACACATTTGGAATCTCTGTAAATATACAGTTTAACTTTAATAAAAAATATGAGAACCTAAATGTGAAAAGAGATTGCAAACACATAATTTTAAGTAAAGTGATGGTCTTTGTAATTATTTGTAAGTCGTATATTAACTCGCTATTGTTCAATAAATTGCTCTTCTAATTTAATGATCTATTATTTAAAATTATATTACTATTTATTAATTGTTCTAATTTTTTCATTTTTTCAAATTTTCGCCCAAAATGTTCCTTTTTGCAATACGACATGACACACACTATATTTATAATGTCATTTCATTTACATTTGTAATAAAAAAGTTTCGTTAAAGTTTGGTAAACGAGCAAGTCACACAAAACACCAAAAGTAAACAATTCGAGAAATAATGTTAAAAATTAACCAAGTAAAGAGAAAAAAAGCGTAGGACTTTTATAATTCACGAATACGAGTATTTAGATTGAAATTATTTGAAATCAAAAAAAAAAATTTTTTGATATAATCTATACTGACCACCTACTTTTTATTTAATTATTTTTGTGGTTTTAAAGAAAAACGACGAAGAATGAAAAATACACGGAAACTATTATTATTATTTTCATATATTGAAGGTTGAGCAAAAAAAAAAAAATTATTAAATTTTAATTTTTTTATTAAAAAAATTTATTATTGATTTCTCCCCGAGGAACTTATTCATATTTGATATAAAAGATTTTTTGTAAAGTGAAAACTTTAATCGCTTTAACAGCAAAAATAAAATGAAAGAGTACATGTTCGGGCGCCATTATATTATTTATATGATTTTTAAATTTTGCATCGAACATTTCAATTATTTGTTGTTCCCTATATGTTTGTAAGTATGTGCGACTGAAAAATCACTAGAGGCGTTTGCTAGCTGAACGCTTGCTCGTATCATAACGTTTCTAATAATAAATTCTTCCCAATTATACAAATAGAAATAATAATAATTTGGATTTCGTGATTTTTTTTTTTGATTTTTTTTACCAGAACAAAATCAATTTTTATTTGATTATTTCCATTCGACCGATTTGCATAATAAAACAGTAAAAGTTTTCATTCTTCATTTTTTTTCTCTCTTTCTCCAGCAATCACGGAGTTATTTGGATTACAATCGAAATTGAATCTAGATTTGATATCAAAAGCAAACTAAACTGAGACTATTATCAAAAAAATAGAAAATCTGTTTGTAATCTTTAGATTGAAAAAATAAATTTCGAAATCTTTAAAAACAAATTATTTTTATTAAAATCTGGCAATAACAACAATAACAACAGCCATAACAATCTGTTGGCTACAATTTTTGGCACATTTTACCTATATACAATTATTTTATACAATCATAGTGTATAACACCGGTATCTTTAGCAGTAATTAAACAAGGTTAAATTTTTACAATTATTATTAAATTATTTAAAATTACCTATATACGTACTTATACAACTGAAGGTTAATTTAATCAGTAACGCATAGTAAAAGATTTTACTGAAAATATCAAGAATCATTAACAAAATAAATATTTATAAAAATTCGTAAAGATTTCATTAACAGAATCTTCATTTATTAGCTTCTTTATTTATATTAAATTATGAATTTAATTGTAAAAGTTTTTTTTAGCTTCAAGAAGGGAAATATAAAACGTGCGTGCATAATGTGCATATCAAATGAGATGTTAAACAAAAATGTGATATTAATTGATAGTTTTATGGGAAAAATTCAAGAAGATTTTTACTACAAATATTGCTTCCAAATACCTCACAATTTTGTGTATAAAATAAATTTAAGAAAGAAATCTGAAGAAGCACTATTTGATGGCTAACATAGTAAAGTTTCCGCTCCTTTTATGGGATACATATCACAGTGGGAGTTATTCCCGGGTTATTTGAGAGCAATTTATTGTAAATGAAACACCATTTTTTTTTTTTTGGAATTTTTGTATTTCTTTGTTGTATAACAGTTCGAACTATGACTTAAAAATTTAAATGAACGTATTAAAGATTTGGCATTTATTAATGTCATTAAAATATAAAGTGATCTACTGGAATAAACGCATAGAATTACTCTTCTTAACTACCTTTTTACATGTTATATAAGATAATACAGTTCGGATTATTATAATGCTAAAATTTCATACATTTATCCCTATTCATTTCATCCCTTAAATAAAATGTAAAAATTTATGTTAAAAATTTAGGTTTTTCCAATTTTTAGGAATTCGACTTAAATTTAGGTTTTTAAGTCCAATTTTTCATATTTTACCATGTCTCAGGAATTAAGTGACGAAATATTTTTAAATCTAAAGTATAAATTCTGGTTTCTAACGAAATTAACTGTAAGCTCGGATTACTAAAGACGCGCCTCATCTTTTCATAATCTTATGCAATGCATCAACAATACACAATCGGTTGTGGGCTGTTAACATCAAATTTCTTTAAAATAATGTGATAATGTTTTAGTATTATTTAATATTATTGAAAATTTTGGAATTATTCGGAATTATTCGGATTCATTCGAAAATATTTGAAAAATTTTAATTTTTTGTTTAAACAACATTATTACAACATTAAAATAATGAAAACAAACACAATCGTGTAACTTGAGAGATTTTTGAATTTTTTCTCATGCTAAAATTTTTATTTCCTACAAAAAAAAAATCAGATTCCCATTTATATTGTGTCAAAATTTTCAAAATATTTCCAAGATTTTCAACAACAAATTTTTTTAATATTGCGAATTTTTTTTTTCTGTGTGATTCAATAAAATGCGGTGACCCAAATAACAAAATATTCCCAAAATATCAATGACTACAAAAAATTTCTTGTCAATTTATTAGTCACCGTCTTAACAATGAAATTCAATTCTATAAATTAAATACAGTTTTCAAAATCTGGGATCAAATATGATCACTATATGACTTTAAAATGATTTTATTAAAGAAGCAGCACAAGAACGCCATCTTTTTAATAATAAAATAATTTTCCAATAATATTGTTTATTAAAATAATTATTTTTATTTTTTTATTTTTAGATTTCACCACAAAAATATCAAAACTTAATACTTTAAATGGCTACACTACTGTCAAAGAAAATTACAAAATTAAAATTACTTATTGGATTATCAATATGGTCATTAATAATATTAATAATATTTAAATTACATAATAGTAAAACATCAATAATAGAACATTTAAATTTGCAATCATCAATAAATGGTGGACGTATTCTATTACAAAAGAATTCAGCATTCAATAAATATTTTTTAGATATAATTTCAACGACAACATCAACAATATCAACAACATCATCAATATCATCATCAATCATTAATATTGGACATTCATATGATTCATCTGAAATATTAATTGATAATCGTCCGCCATTAGATGAAGATCAAGTAATTAAAGATGTTGAAACAAGATTACCATCATTACCAATTGCATATTGGAATAAAAATAAAAATTTTTTACAACAGAAATCTGCTCAAAAGAATATTAAATGTGCAAAATATCCATCAATTTATGAATTAGAATTTAATAATATTTATTGGCAAACCCAACATACAACAAATGGTACATTTCAATTATTTGGTGCCTATTATGATATTAGAAAAAAATCAAAATTAGGACCAGCTGTACGTATACTTGGTATGATAAATCGTATTGAACCAAAAATTAAAACATATTGTCAATTTTGGTTTGATGGACAAAAAGATCCGGCAATTGTTAAAACTTTTGAATATAAATATATTTGGCATAAATCATGGGGTAATTATAAACAGGGAATTTATCAACCATATTTAATTGCATGCCGTTTACCAAAACCATTTTATGGTGTTGTACCATCATCGGTATCAATTGTTGAAGATAAATGTGCAACAGCTACAAATAATTTACGTGTTCTATATAATCGACCAGATGATGATAAAAAGAAAAATTTTGCAATATGTGTGAAAGGATTAGATTTTCTATATGATGATATGTCAACAAGATTAGTTGAATGGATTGAATTATTAAGTATATTGGGAGCTGATAAAATCTTTTTTTATCAATTACAAATACATCCAAATATTTCAAAAGTATTAGAATATTATGAAAGAAAAGGTATTGTACAAGTAACACCAATAACATTACCAGGTGGCCAACCGAATGTACCAGGTTTTCAACATTTATATTTACAAAAGAAATCATTTCATAAAAGACAAAATGAAGTAATACCGTATAATGATTGTTTTTATAAAAATATATACCGTTATAATTATATTGGATTATTAGATATTGATGAAGTTATAATGCCACTCTATTATCAAAATTGGTTAGAATTAATGAATAATGAAGTATTACCGAAAGCGAAAAAAATTCGTCCATCTGGTTATTCTAGTTATAATTTTCGTAATGTTTATTTTTTAGATGATCATCATAAACCAGAATATGGATGGTATCAAGATATACCAAAATATATGCATATGTTACAGCATGTATATAGAGCGAAAAATTTTACAAAACCAAATGAATTTGTTAAATGTTTTCATGATCCAGAACATGTTGTTGTATTACATAATCATTTTCCATTAGGTTGTTTAGGTGGACCATGTAAATCATATCCAGTTGATATTAGAGTAGCACAATTACAACATTATAGAGCTGATTGTGTTAAAAGAGTTAAAAAATTATGTAAATATTATCGTGATAATTCAATGAAAGATACAACAATATGGCGTTTTAAAGATGAACTAATATGGAGAACACAAAATTCATTAAGTGATTTAGGTTTTATATCAAAAAAATTCTCACATCATTATTATAAAATTAGTTATAGTGTTAGTAATAGTACAAGTAGTAGTCGTAATATTGATAATAAAAATTATTTTGAAAATAATCATAGATGATTAACTATTGGCTTAAACTATTATTAATTTGGAATTTAAATAAATTATTGGAAAATTACTCGTATATTAAATAATTTTGTGTAATTATCGAATATGTGTGTAGATTAAAATAGAATTTTCGAAAATATATGTGTGTAGATTCACGAATATATAAGAAAAAACAAGACAAGCAAATTTTAGATAAATTTTGTATGTACACAAACACCACTACCATTAGCAATAAATTTCAATAAAATACATTATAGAAATTATATATATATAATTGAAAATTTATTATATGATAGGGAATTTTATATGAAAAATATTTTGTATCAAAATATAAACTATATAAGGAAATTCTTTTTGTTAATAATATAATTAATTATTAAAAATTGTGAAAATTTTTGGTTTAAAAACTGAGTATATTTTAAATGTAATAAAGAAATTAATTTTTAAAACTAAGAGATTTTGCATTATAATTTTGAATTTCCGGAGTATGATCGACGATCGTTATTCTAGAAAATATTAAAGTTTATTTTTTATTTGCTGATGAAATACCGTATATTAGATATCGTATTTTAATATATCTGTCATTATATAAATAATAAACTTGAATCTGAATTTATTTTATTAGCAATTTTCAAATATTGAATATTTTGTAATTATTTTTCATATTACTGCTAATTACAACTAACTCCAGTTGGCCTCTTGATCCTGAAATAATAAGTTTTAATAAAACGAGAAAATTACAATTTGTTTTTAATCTTGAAAAACAAAAATGAAAAAACTCGTACAAAAATTACTAAAAATAATTTTTATACCAGTTTAGCAAGGTCAAAATCCATTACGATTTTGTCAATTCAATAATATTACTCATAGAATATTTATATTCTAGACAACAACCACTTTAATATTCAAATGTTAAGGTATTGCCATCTTAATATAATAAAAGCAATATGAACAACTGTTTCTATATGATGTTAACACAAAAATATTGTTTTTATACGAGTATGCAATGTTCTTTAAAAATATTTCAATGCTTACATAAAGGTAGCGCTTTTCATAAAATTATTTAAGTACTAAAATTGAACAACGGAAAGAACTCAGCTATGATTATTATAAAAACAATATACATAATGAATATTGTGAATAAAAATTTTCAATAACATGAAAATTTTCTACAATATTGTAAATTTTGAAAGATTGACATTTTTTATTGCATTTTATGTAATATAATGAAAAAGTACGGTGTTTAAGAGCGTTTATAAAAATAATAATTTTATTTAAAAAATAAAATAAACAGTATTTGTGCCATTTTATAATTAGAATTTGTTCGCTGAAAATATTTGAAAAAAAAATCCATTATATTCTCAGACATCGTAAGATTATAAAAAACAATTAGAATCGCTCTATCTCTTCTAGTTTAGCCAGAAATCGCGTTTAAAGTTTTTATAAAAAAAAAAAAAAAAAACAAAATTTTTTTTTTTTTTTAATGATTTTAAAAAACAATTAGAATCGCTCTATCTCTTCTAGTTTAGCCAGAAATCGCGTTTAAAGTTTTTATACACAAGAAAAAAAAAACAAGCGCTATACACGCAGTTGCGAATTATATTAAAGTAGAGAATTTTAATAAAATAATATAAAGCGCTGCTTGGAGTAATGCAAAACAGTATGAGTATAAATCCGTGGGTATGACTTACCCAAGGGAAATACTGAATATGATAACCGAAAATTGAAGAGTTAGAAGCAGATGGCAAAACTCACGAGATCTGGCAGATAAAACTGCACTCAATCGATTCACTCAAAATCTAGAAAGAAAACTTAAAGAAGATTCATTTGATAATTACATAATAAAAGTTTGTCAGCCGAATAAGAAAGTAATTATTCCTTATGGAGTATTTATTAATTATTCCTTATGGAGACTGCAAAAAATATTAAGAGGCCATTTTTACATATCCTCCCTATTAAGGGAACGGATAGCAAATGGGCAATATAAAATAAGGATAAGGCTGAAATATTTGCCGATCATCCTACATAAATACATCAATAGGAAACGTGAGAGCAGAAAACGTTATCGCTCCATTTACACAAAGAGAAATAGTAGAAGAAATAAAAAGTTTAAAGTCAAGGAAAGCACCAGGTTATGATTTAATTACCTCTGAGATACTGAAGCAATTATCGAAAAAGGGTATAACAATGTTGAATTTTTTAATGAATTCTGCACTTAAGGTTAAAATATGTGCCTAATGCTTGGAAGGTAGCAGAAGGTATAATCGTACCAAAACCTGGTAAACCTTTAAGTGAGACCAAGTCGTATAGACCAATTTCTCTGCTACCAATTTTGTCGAAACTTTTTGAGAAGTTATTTCTGAAAAGAATGGGACCTATAATTGAAGAGATGTCATTAATTCCGAACCACCAATTTTGTTTAGAGGAGGACATTCAACTACTGACGAAATTCATAGAATAACAAATATTTGCTTTCCCTAGAGGAAAAGCAAATTTGTGCAGCAATTTTTGTAGACGTGGCACAGGCTTTTGACAAGGTTTGGCACGAAGGATTTATATACAAGTTGGGAAAAAAACTACCAAAGCAATATGTAGATATTCTCTCTTCTTATTTAACCAACAGATTATTTAGAGTCAAACAGGAGGGGGACTATTCCACACTTAGAGAAATAAAAGCAGGTGTGCCTCAGGGCAGTATTTTGGGTCTAATACTATATCTACTCTTTGCAAGAGATGTGCCTCAAATAGAAAACACAATTGTGGCTACATATGCTGACGATACTGCAATTATGGCAGTAGCATCAATTATTGACGACGCCACAAGAAAGCAATAGTTTTGATGCTTGGACCAAGAAATGGAAAATAAAACTAAATGAAACTATGTCTGCACAAGTAAATTTTACAAATAAAGTTCTTGTGAACTCCCCCCCTCCGTGTCAATTTAAATTGGGGTAAATGTTGCGCAGGAAAATGCGACGAAATATCTAAGAATGACACTGGATGTTAAGCTAAAATGGAAAGAACGTGTTAAAAAGAAAAAGGCAGAATTAAAATTAAAATATAAAGAAATGTATTGGCTCAGGTCGCAAGTCAAAATTGCCGAAACAGAATAAGATCCTGCTCTATAACCAAATTATTAAACCGGTTATGTTGTATGGTATCCAGTTGTGGGGATGTGCCAAACAAATCCATGTCCAGCGAATACAAACGTTCCAAAAAGGATTTTGCGGAATTTGGTGAATGCCCCTTGGTATGTGCGAAACGGAGATTTGCACAGAGATCTAGGGATTCCAAGTGTGGTTGACGAAATTAAAGAAAAGGCGGTGAGACATAGAGCTCGTTTGGGGCAACATGTCAACATAGAGGCCTCTCGGCTCCTTATTATCCGGGATTCTCCTAGAAGGCTAAAGAGTATTTTGTAGTAGTAAAGATTAGCAGAATGCGCTTCACCAAGTCGGGGAACGTTAAATCTTTTTCAGTTTATATTAAAGAAAATTTGATGATAGGTCTAAGGCGACTAGTATCAGAATATGAGGAGGAGGTTTTTGTGATAAAACACATAACTAACTATGGGTTGCCAGGGAATGACATGTTAGTAGCATTCATGAACTAAATACAGCGGTTTACTATGTAATAGTTACACAAAATTTTACTTAATGCATCTACTACTTCATTGTAGTAATTCATTCGATATTCAAATTATCGAAATATTGAAAGATGATTTAATTATTTTCTATAATAATTATTCTGTTTATTTAGAATAACTATAATATTTAAAAAAAATTTATAGAATAATATTATTTTTAATTTAGTTTATTATCATATACAAAGGACAATTACAACTAATATTATGTATAATTTTATTATACATATATAAATTAATTTTTTTCATTTTTACCTTAATAATATTATTAATAATGATTTATAAATATATATTTTTTAACAAAAATTTATATAGATGAACAAAAAATACATAATGTATAATAATAATTGGATTTTTTTTTTGTAACAAGACTGTTGTAAAGATAAGATAATTTTCTTTTAAAATGTAATCAGCGTAATTAAGTACAAAATAAGTACATATTTTAAGATCTCTGGAGCCATTTTTTTTAAATACAAAATTTATAGCAATGCAACTATTAAATTTTTTGAAAATTAAAATAAAACAAAATTTTATTTTTTATTTTATTGATGTAAAAATTTAGCTTTATCAGATGAATTATTGGAGAACTGTAAAATTAAATACAAAATCAAGATTAATTTTTTGTAAAATCCGTAAGATTACTTACATTACTCTTGAATCTATAAAACAGAGTTTTCAAATTTCAGCTTAATCAGCGATTTTGGAATTCAACTTAAAAATAATATAATCTGCGGTTTGGAACTCAAAGTTAGTAAAATTCATTTGGATTAAAATAAAGAAAAATAAATCGGACAGAATCTTAATACATACAAATATTTTTAGCACTAATATACAGTAAAAAATTTTTTTTTTAACTAATCTCTCAATATTAAATTTTAATTATAATAAAATATTATAAAACATATATATAAATATATATTAATAAGTTTTTGAATATTCTTTGCCATTTCCATTATACAATTAATAACTTAAATATTTTTTTATTTTGAAATTATTCTACATAAGCAAATATCTTATAGAGATAGCAAAATATTGCAGTGATCCTTATATAATTTAATTTTTCAAATTTGATATAATTAGAATTTAATTACATATATTTTAGTCAAAACAAAAAAAGGAACACATTAAAAAATTATTAAAAAAAAAATTTATATAATAAAAAAATTTACATTATTAAATAAATTTGTAAATTTCTGAATTTTTTAATTAAAACATACAAAATATTGTGTTGTTTGACTTTCAAAATATTATATATGAATTCTATGTATATATATATATAAAAGCATGGATTATATAGTATGGTAGACATTATAAATTTAATTTAATAATTTTCTAATTAATTTTGTATATATATAAATAATATAAAAGTATTAAAAATTACAATATAAATTAAAATTATTAAAAATTGATTAACACAAGTTCAGTTCAATTTTTATACTTTAATTCAAATATGAGCTGACATAACTGATCTGAACTGAACTATAATGTTGAAATATTTTCATAAATCTTCTTGAATTCATTTTTCAATCATTTAAATAAATTAGATTTTACATTTTGTTTAACATAAAAATACAATTTTTCATAGTTTAATTTAAAAAATACATTTTAAATATATACAATTTATAATTGTATAATAATTTTCTTAATATATAATAATTCTTGACTTCAAAAATGTGCAATAATGCAAATATACAAAATTGTAATTATGTTCCAATTTTACAGTATTAATACAGTACTATTGCAATATTTTGAAGTACAAAAATTTTTTTTTCGCTGCGCTATTGATTTTATAATTTATTTTTATATAAAAACAAAAAAAAAAAATTTAAGAATTTTGTTGTATAAGACTTTCCCATTTGGCGATAAGTTCGTGCGAAGATGGTGCTTCTTCATCATTATTTAATTCACATAATTGAGCTAATGATACAGCTGGACGAAGATTTTCACTTTGATGACGACTTCGTTCAAAATTTGGACTTGGTGTTGTTCGGCTAAAATATATAACATTTTAATTTTTAATATAACACAACATAGATCTATTCAACTAGATTTTTTACCTTGGTGAAAGGCTACTCGAATTCATCGAATCACATAATTCACTAATTGATTTAACAGCCCTTAATTTACCCGGTGGATAACAATGTTCAACATCAGAATCTTCATCTGATTCAGCAAATCTTAAAGTTAAAAATATTATTATTAAATTAATTAAAAATACATATACTTCGAAAAAATTAAATTTAAAATTTTTTTCATAAACTTACTCATTTTCAATGGATTCTAATAGATCCGGTTGCGATTGTCTTGATTTTAATTTACGAATTCTTTTTAATTCTGATTCTCTATTTTTTAAATCTTTTAATTCTTTTTGAATTTTCTCTTCAACTGGTATATAACCTGGACGTAATGGTTTACCTTCTGGATCACGTTCAATTATTGGTGGTGTTGTTGGATTATTTACTTGTTGTAAAAATACTGAATGACGATGTGTTTGATTAAATTGATCAATTGGTGATATTGGACCATCTTTAATACCATTAACACCATTTGTTGTATGAATACCATTTAATCCATTACTAGTACCATTAATTGAAATTTTTCCACGTGTTGCAATAAAACGTTGCATTAAACCTTTATGTGCTGGTCCAGTTGTAACACGTCTTATTGGTGTAAAATGTATTAAACTTGGTCTTTGTGTAATATTACCACCATTTTGTTGTATTATTGTTGTTCCAATATTATTGATATTATTAATGCTACCATTATTGTTATTATTGTTGTTTGAAGATTTTATAATTGGTTTATTTAATTGCATTTGTTGTGGTGGTGGTGTTGGACTTATTACATTATAATTATTTGTTCTAATATATTTTTTAACATTTCTTGGTATTGGACTTGATGATGCCGATATACCAGAATCATCTGAATGATGTTCAACATCTAAATTAGTATCTTTACTATTTGTAATTATTGGTGATATTGATGTATTATTGGATGATGATTCATCATTTAATGATATTGTTGAATTTAATGAAATTGTATTATTGGTGTTATTTAATGTACCATTTATTCCATTATGATTATTTAAATGTTGAATATGATTTGTTGTTGAATTAATATTATTATGTTCATTATTATTTTGTAATATTTGTTGTTGTTGTTGTTGTTGCTGTTGAATTTTTAATTGTTGTTGTTGTCGTTGTGTTTTTTCACGTAACTCACGTTCACGTCGAGCCACTTCATTGATTTCATCTTGAATTCGTTTTAGAGGATCGTCCTAAAATAATAAGAAAACACAAAAATATTTGATATTAATTTCTTATTTTTCAAATTTAAAAAAATAATTATAATTATATGCTAAACATAGGAATGTTAACGCTCTTTCTATATGTTTATAAAAATATTAATGATTTATTAGGTTTAATTCAGCAATTTATCATCAAATTGTAAAAATAAAAATGTAAATTTTTTATATTGACTAATTTCATAAAATTATCATTTTATCAAAATATTTAAAGCTATTAAAATGATTGAATGATTTTTTTTTTAAATTATGTAAAAGAAAATTAAGTTGAACAAATTTAATCTCTCACTATTATACGCGGCACATATCGCATATACGAAGACAATCCAAGCACTTTATAATAATGAAAGCGTATAATTATAAAAAAAAACATTTATTTTTAAATGAATTCACAATATTAAATGCATAATCTATTATTATTATTACTTAAATACAATTTAAATGGAAGAGGTAAAAGTCAAAACTGCTTGCAGAAATAAAACTTAAACAAACGTTTTAAGTACACAATAATTAAAATATCTTTAAACTAAAATGGAAGCATAAATATTAAATATTTTAAAAATTTAAATGGAATAATGAAAACTAAAAATTTATTATTTTTATTATTATTTTTATTTTAAAATTCAATCAGCTTACAAAAATTTAAAAAAATAATCAGTCCAATCCAAATATTTAACCAACATCATTAATACTTTAGTAAATAGTATACTTTGTAACATAACCTTGAATATTTAATATTTATACAGTTAAGAAGAGAGAAATTTTTAAAGTAAAGCAAAATATTACTCAATATTGACTGTAATAACATTAATGACTGACTGAGGTTAAAAATTTTTTTCTCAACTTAAATCATTTTTTTTCAAATTAAAATAAAAGGCTGAATTATTTGTACAAAGGGAGTAAGAAAATAGAAGACAAAGTCATTTTTCATATGTTAAGAGAACCGGAAATTGCTAAAATATTTGGCAAAAATTTTACTAGCATAATAGTTCAAACTTTTTGAATCTGAAATGTACTTTATTCAACATTTGAAATAGTGTTGCTGAGTAAGCCCAATTTGACGGTTGTTCAATTAAATAAACACTAATTCCTTTCCTTTATCATATGCTATTGCATACTTTTAGGGATAGTCAAAAATAAATATTTTTAAACAAAATTTTAAATAATAACAAAAACTCTAAATTAAGAATTAATAATAATAATAATAAGCTAGTTAGTGATATCTTTCTGCTATTCTACATATTTGATATCATCCGTAATTGAACAAAAATAGATGATCCACAGCTCGAAAGAAATCAAACCAGAAACAAATATTTAAATAATAAAGTAAAAAATTTTTGGGTTTTTAATAATGCTAAACGTTGTATGGCTAGCCATATAAAGTTTCTACTAAACTAAAGCTAAGTTAACTAAAATTTTAAAACATAAATTAAATCTGTATTGAGTCATTCATTCTTTAAGTAAGAATTTTGAATATTTCGTAAAAAAAAATGCCAGAATGCTAGAAACATGGTTAACGTGACCTATGTGGCATGTCTATCGCACTCTAATTTACACAAATGTGCCGTTTTGCTAATTCATTCAGGGCGCCATTGAATATACGATTAAAAGTGGATTCACCCAATCTTTTTTAAGGAATAAGTATCCAATGTCAATCATCAATACCTCATCTAGCTCCGTCTTGTATGCAAAATTGCTGGATACTTTTACATAACAATTTTTAAATTTAAGTTATATTATTTTGTTACAAAACAACTTCATATTTAATCAAATAAAATAAAACTTTATTTTCTGTGATTTTCTTAAATTCAATTAATTTCCTTGGCTGAGAAATAAGATGATCAGCATTATATTTAAGGCAAAAATCATCCTATGCTTAAAAATGTGTTAACAATATTCATTCCAATCCAAACCAATTGGTCTCTTTAATATACTTGATAACAAAATTTAATAAATGCGAACAATATACATAAAAGCTTAAAAGAAATTTAAATAGTTTATACTCGAAAACCTCATATACAACTATAGTCAAAAAGCTAAGATTCATGATTTTAGATTAGTTTCATCAATATAAATAAAGAGCCGTAACGAAAAACCAGAAATAGATTATAAAATAAGAAGAAACCGATTAAGCGCGATTTTTTTTTTTTTACTGTTTCGAATTTTTTCAAAATCATCAATCACTTTTTAGATGTTATGCACAAAAATTTAACCAAATTTTTTTTTTTTCTAAATTTTACTTTTTAAATTACGCGCGTGATATTGAACTTTTCGTACAATAAAAATTCTTCTCTTATATTACTTTTTCTTTCATTTTTTGCGTTTATTATTTTTTTATATACCCTTTTTAATCCTATACCTTATTTGTATTAAAAAATTTATATTTTGTAATTTTTGTAGTTTAATCAAAAGAAAAATGTACTGTTATAATCGGCATTTGAACACTTTCTCCTTTTCAAATCAACATTGTATACAGTTATTGTGCATGTAGAAATTACAGCATGACATTTAAGAAAAAGCATGGCCGAAACATGGCGTTTAACTTAGGCAAAAATATTAATTATTGTTGTGTGATGCAAAAGTGTGTACACTCATGTGTAAGTTGTATGTCAAAGTATATAAACATGTGTAAGTTGTATGTCAAATAATTATAAACGTGAAATTCAAAATATTTTTCCAATAATAATTTTTAATTTTATAATCCAAAGATAATTTTGTAAAAATAAAAATTTTTGTTATCACGTGATTACAATTAATAATAAGAAAATCCGCATGAATACAAAAATCGAAATGAGTTGCGCTTATTTTTGTGTGTTGAAAACATTAAAATTTAGTCACACTCTCACACAAGTTATACTTGTGAGGGTAATTATATTTTTTGTTAAATTTTTTTTATTATTAAATTTTTAGCAATTTATTTTCAATAATAATTTTTTTTTTGTTCGGAGTAATTATTTTAATTTTGATAACACTTAAATCTCAAATTCCTTATATTTTGTATACTTCGCGAGAAAGTGAGTTTAAAATTTAAGGTGTAAAGTGCGTATTTTTCATATCTTTGAATGATAATTATTTAATTACCTACATAATTATAATACATTGATTAAAACATAATTATTTCCTTCGAAATAATTTTTGAAATTTTTCTTATAAATCAGAAAAAATAAATAATTTGCAATTTTATATAAAAATAAACAAAGATTTCACAAGTCATAAGAAAATTTTATGTCATAAATTTATTCAAATCAAAATGGTTGATTACAATTAAAAAAAAATTGTCACTTTTATAGTCTGTCACTTTCCATTTAGCTGCGAAATTAAAGATAAAGGGATAAGAAGTAAAATGTTCATTTTTAAAAGTTCAATCTAAGCTTTGTACAAAACTTATCGAAAACAGTTTTAATACGCTTCTGGTTGGAACCACAGAAATTTCATTTGAATAGATTTAATCAGAGGATTAAAAATAACATATACCGAAATGAAGCACTCGAAATCAGAAGTCGAAGACCGAAAATGGAGCCGAAGACTTAAATTTGCTTAGAAAAATAGAAAAATCTTATTAAAAAATGTTGATTGAACACGAAAGAAGGGAGAAGGAATATTGTTGGTTCAAAAGCTAATTAAATAATAGAGAACAGTTCGCACAATGCTGTAACCTTGAAAATGAAAAGGAAAGTATTAAGTATGGTGTAATACAAGGAAGTTCGACTATGTTCTCGATTTATATAAGTAACCTACTGAATTAAAAATTGAAAAGCACACCATACTCGTATGCACAGGATTTGACAATAGTTTATAAAGAGAAATTACACAAATGGTAATGATCAATGAATAAAACAACATAAACTAAATGTTAACGTTAATAAAGAAAGCCAAATAACTCTTTATATATAAAATTTAATAATTTTCAACTGAATTTATAAGTATTTATATAGGGACCATCGATAAAAATTAAATTTAGGAAATGTGAATAATTGGTGAAATATTTAAATGAATACATAAAAGAGTTCCACCAACACCAACAATGTAAACCCCAATAATGGTAACCAAAAATTAAAAGCACAAACATCGAGCTAAATTTTTATAAAAACACTCGTACATATGACAAGGAATGCTGCCATCTAAATAAAATACATAACAAATTGCCTACAGAAATTACAGAACACATTTTAATTCAGAAACATCAACCCATTAAATCCAAATTTAATGCTTTTTCACCCTTTTATTTTGGATTTACCAATTCTCATAATGTTTAATTAGTTTATTTGCATATTGATTGCTATTTTAACAATATAGTCTTTTAAAAATGCTGTCACACCATTGGCTCATATCGTCGATTTTTCATTTTTCATAACGCGACGAATATTCAATCATCTCCTAATAATTACCAAAATCTATATGCACTCTTAAACCCCAATTTTCATCATGTAATCCAATAAATTTAAAATTGTTTAAAAGTTTCGGTACATTATTAAAATATTTTCTAATAAATTAATAGTATAACATTAAATATCAGAGCCGTCAGACCACAAACAAACCCCACCAGTCGTGCATTCAATAGAAGAAAAAAAAATTAATACAGAACATGCAATTCCAAAACCGCATTCAAAAACTCATATAATTTATAATCAATTTTAAATTTCATTTAACCGCACACAATATACAATAAATAATTTTTTTAAAGAGCGTTAAACTAATTAAATTTAATATTGTTATACTTTTAGTTCTATATACCTATTATATGGTTTTTGCAATAGTTTAGAAAGTTTTCGCTTTTATTATATAAAATTTTTTAATAAAAAAAAAAAATTTTTCTATTTAATAATAATATTATAATTAAAAATACAATACTGTGCGGTTAATTAGCAGTAGCAGAAGAAATGTAAGCGATTATTTTACAAAACAAAAGAAATTTTGTATAGCAAGTATGTATTAATTTTTTTATTTTCTAACATATTTGCATATACGCTATA